TAAGTTTTCAAAACCTTTTCCTTTTTTTCTTGGTAAAGGGTTAAACTTGGCCCTTTCTGTCAACGTTCAATTAGTTTAGTTTAGGTTGATCATCACAAAATAGATTAATTCGAAAGAGGCACATTTATTGAAATAAATAGTGGTAATCGTCGTCTTCGTTATATTCCGTCCTTTTCCGTCGCGCAGGTTACCAAAACGGTATGACGGATGAATTAGATACATAATTAAGGGAACTAATAAAATATCTTTTTGTTAATATTTTTTCGAACTGAAAGGCAATTAAACGTTTACTATATCGTATGTAACGACAGGAATATTGATTTCAACTAAATAATTTATTTTTTTCGATAGCGCAAAAAAAAAAAAAAATAAAAAAAAATATGCAGATACCACTTTTACGGTAGAATTGCATTGTTTCATGCAATAATTAAAACATATATATTTTCAAATATTCGATGACCGTTGATTATTTGGCAGTAATTATCGGATTCTGAACTATACAAAACGGATTTCGATGTCTGGTATAACGGTATATGTATAAGGTAGAATTACAAGTAGAATTACAAGAATATCACTCACCTTACAAAATTAATCAAAATTATGAAATAAAAAAAGATGCTAGAAATGAAACACGATTTTTGATTTAATATCGAGATATATACTATCAATAAAATCTTTAGCATAAATCATAATAAGTTACGTAAACTAACGAAACACCTCCCGAAAATTAATGAGTCTCAGGCCAATATTGCCAGACAATACTTGCTTATTTAATAATCATTGCAGTTCCTTGACAATATTGCTAAGCAAGTTTGCTTTATATATGATGCTTTATTGTGAATAAACAGTTACTCAACATATTGTTCCTCTTTTCTTTATACTTGAACCATTACTTAAACTGATATTTTCTTATATTTATGATAATACAGTCATTTTCTATCCGGCGACTTGATGCTTTAGCATCAAAATCTCTACTTGTTTCTCTTGTAACTAATTCTGTTATTGTGGGCAACCAAGGGCAAATAACTGTTGTTAAGTACCACTAAAGCAAACTTGATTGGTTAAAACTTGAATACTGTTGCTAGAACATGTTCCACATGGCACAACTTTATTTTCTGTATATTAAAAATACTGAATTAATAGGTCTTGCCAAACTTAGTACAATTTAATACTTCCTTATAATGAAATTATGCAGTTATTGAAACTGTCAGTAAGTGTACTCTGAATAATTTCTTCTTTTTTTATAGTTATTGCCAAAACCATTTTTGAATTTTTTTCTGTTTTTGAAATTTTAAGCTAAATTGTACTTGAATTTCTGAATTCGTTTTTCAGTTTAATTTGATTCTGTCCGCAGCACGTCTTATCAGGAAGGCTGGAAGCTTTTTAAGCTAATTTAAGGGAGAAGATTCCTTGGAATCTTCAAGATTTATTGCTATTGTCTTTTTTTCTTAGCTAGTAAACACAATATTTCTTGTCAAGATACAAGGGGAAAAATATCACCTCTTCTTGATTCATTACATTGTTCATACAGTGTGCAACTTTTGATGTAATGTTTTATCAAGGGTATATAGATCAGAAAATTGTTTTTATTCTCCAGAAACCATTGCAATTTTGCTAAAAACACAGTAACAGTTGTCCAGAAATAATTTAGCAATTGATAGATTTTATTTGAAAGACAGGGTACAGACTGTTTATTAGAAGGATTTTATAATATCATTTTGTCAGGAGTGAAATAATTCAACATTTCTGACAGTGTAATTATAACAATATTGATTCTCATTGATAGTACAGAAGTAATCAAAACTATTAAAGAGAAAAAGAGAAAATGAGTGAACCATTAACCTATATAGGACACCAGTTTATTGATCAAATTTAAATAACATTTTAGTTCCTTTTTGTCTTAGTAAAATGTGCCCTAAATTAAACATTTTCAGTGTTTGTTATCTATACTGCCCTTCAAAGAAGTGGGGGTATTTTGTTTTGCTAATGTCGGTTTGTAGGTCTGTCTGTCAGTAGACCACATAGTGATTGGTCATAACTAGTAGATAACCCCTATTGATATCAGGGTCACTATGTCAAAGGTCAAGGTCAAAGGGGTGTTAAATGTCAGAATGGTTTTCGCTCATTATCAGAAAAAGTATTTATCACAAAGTCTTCATATTTCACATATTGATAAGTCATTATAAATGGGGTCACTAGTTAAAAGGTCAAGGTCTTTATATTTCAAATATTGATTGGTTAAAAGTAGTAGGTCATTATTTTTCTTTTTTCATAACTGAACACTTCCATGTACCTATCTATGGCAAGTTTCTATAACAAAATTACCAATAATGAGTCAAGGGCTAGAAAGGGGGGCATATGTGTCTTTCAACATTTCTTCTTTTTTTGTCAATATCCATGTTTTTCAAAAACCATCAAAGTTGTTCATTTAAACTTTTCAACTCTGTGCGATGCTCTTGTTTCAACTTAGAATCTTATCAACTTTGGTTAAATTTTGTGGTCCAGTAAATCAAAGATGGACTTCTAATTGGATGGGGTTTCAGACTCACTTACTTATGGTCAAGATCAATTAAATTAAGAATAGATTTTACCGCCTTTTGCTGCATTAGTAATATGTTAAACATTTAGTTGAACAACATTGTTAAGCATCTTTTAGTGTTAAAGTGCTAATATTGGTGTTAATTCTGATGAGTGCTATAGGGTCAACCATGACTCTCTTACATTAAATAGTCTGTAATGTTACCACTGAAATAGAAACTGTGACACGACATGTTAAGATATTGTTAGAAGATGAATCTGAAAATACTGTCAAAAATCAATATAGCTGTTTTAAGTTTTGTATTTTGTGATGCTAGACAAAAATTTCCATTTAAAGACTTAAGACATGGGTGCCTATTGAATATTTTATGGAGTCTAATATGCATAAAGGAAAACATGTCTTTGCTAACATAATGATAGAATTGCTGATATACAATGATAGAATTGCTTATGAACTTTGTTGATAAACTTGTAAAAGATGGAAATGTTTTAGACAATATTTTAGCTTCAGAGTTAAACCGAAAATCTAAGTGTCTGCAAATACCAAATCTATTTGTTTGTTTGTTTTGTTTTTTGTTGGGAGGGTGGGGGGGTGGGTTTGATGTTGCACCAATACAGTATAGATAGGTCATATGGCGACTTTCCAGCTTTACTGGTAGAGCTTCCAAAGACCTCAGCTGCCCTTCCGTACATTATTTCAGACAGGAACGGGTACCTGAGTAGAACTACCAATGTTCCATAATAACCTAACTGGATAGCTTCCTAGCTTGAAAGTCTCTGACGGAAGGGATTTGAACCCTCTGCAGTGGATGAGATGCAAATGGTTTGAAGTCAATGACCTTAACAACTCGGCCATAGACTTACCATAGCAATCATATACACTACTTTGGTATTGCATACACAATGTTAACAGGTCATAATAGCTCAAGTCACCTCATTATTGTAAACATCTACCCTGCAAAAGCTATATATTATGAATTGCTTTGAATTTGAAACTGTTTATTATGATTTTTATCTGTATAAAAATAACTGAATTTGCAATCCAGCAGTATAGAGCCTCTGATAAAATTGCATAGATATTAGGGCAAGCCTAACTTTAAACAGGTAGCATAGCTTTCTTTACCTGCTTTCATCAGTTGAGAGCATCAGGTCATTCACTAAGATTTGATCCTTTGGCCATGCTCAATTTCTCTGCAGTAAATGACCTTTGATATTTTGATATTAAGTCTAATGGTGATTTGTCTCTTTCACCACTGACTAAGAAATATAATGGACAACTGGAACTTCGGGAGAAATTGGTAATTACTGGGTAGTTATCCAGGAAAGTCAGTTAAGTTGACCAACCTCTGAGATATTGACCAAAAAAAGTGATAAAAACAACTTTAAACCAGACTAGCAGAAACAAACAATATTAACTAACTGTTTATGTTGGAAGGCAGTTCAAGGCGTCAGAAATGCAGCCAGTGTTTAAACCTTGAGTGATTGTAAGAGGCGAACATAATGGGTACTAATTACTTGAGTGTATGAAGTCTATGCATCTTTTAGCTCCAGAAGGTGAGGTAGTTTTGACCTTCTTGTGTTGCATTTAGTTTGTAACACTGCATAAGGTATAGCCAAAATCATCTTTCCTGTTTTGACATATGACCTGAGTAAATTGTGTTACTTTGACATAAAACCAAACAAATACATGTATTGTCCTTGCAATAATTTTTGAAAAGTAAAGAATCGTCTATAGAAGTCAAGTTGAATTTATTTTGCATTTTTTATATTAGTAATCTTCATTTATTGTATAAACACCTCATTTTTATAAGGTTTCCTGAGTGACACAATTTTCCTACTTCCTTGATGAAAACAAAACAAGACCAAAAAATTTAAATTAACTTTGTTTTGTGTCCTTGGGGATGTTAATTTCCTATCTTCCTTAGGCGTTTAGTTATGTTGCCCTTAATTATGTCATTATGTGCGTGTATTTTACAAAGTATTTCTAAGAACTGAGCTATCTATATATAAATACAACATATGTGTGACATAAATGTTTGCAATTTTCAACCATCAAGATGTATATTTAATTAATATTATAAAAACTGCAGCATATTCAATGTTAGCTAATTTGTGTTTTAATGCAGAATAAAATAGAAAAAAATGTACAGTCCCTAATTATAAGAAAACGGAACAATGGAAAATGTTGCAGGCTCAGTTTCAGATTTAGCTGGGTGAATAATTTCGATGTGTTTCAGTGCTGTTGGTCAATATGGCGGAACATTGTTGAGGATTGTCTTTGGGTTATAATCACTATATCTTGTTCTTTCCTGTCATGTGTCTGAGGCTTTAACCTACCACCAGTTATATTTGGCTGAAAAACTACAAGTAATATTTGGCTGAAAAAACATTCAAAGATCTTATGTATTTTTTCAAATTTAAAAAAACAAAATTATAATGTATGTATTTATTTTGTATTTCAGCTATTAATAGACTGATTTTGGTGGACAGCGGAGCTCTGAAATTGTTATTACCTTTATTGTACAGTAATTTAGTGGAGGTACAATGTAACGCATGTGGATGTATAACAACACTGGCAACAACTGGTAAGATTATCTGCTAATTATCCCCCGCCGATGGAATCGGGAGGGGGATATAGTTCTGGCGTTGTCTGGCGTTGTCCGACTGAAATGACGATGTGGGGTGAATATCCATGTTCAATCCGTACAGACGGTACTTGTGGGGAAAAAGGTTGCTTATGGGGTGCAAATACGTTGCTTATGGGGTTTTAGAGATCAAAGGAGATCAAAGAAAAAACCCCATAATGTCAACTCAGTAGGAACGTCCGTCCGTCCGCACTCGCAGGAGAGTAATTATGTGGCTAGAGGGACAATAGGTAACTGTTCTTTCTCTTTGATGTCATTCATTCCGTAATGCTTTTATGTGGCTATTTTCTTTTGTGTGGCTAAAAAGAACAATAGAGAGAACAATAGAGTAGCCACATAATTACTCTCCTGTTAGAACGTCTGTCCGTCCATCCGTCAGTCCGAATTTCGTTTCCGGAGTTGTTCTCTGCAACTACTGGCTGGAATTCAACGAAACTTTATGGGAATCATCAATACCAAGAGGAGATGCGCATATCGTCAGCTTGTTCCGGTCAGACACTTTAACTCAGAGTTATGGCCCTTGATTAGTTATGCAGTATGCATATAGAGTAAAATTTCGTTTCCGGAGTAGTTCTCTGCAACTACTGGCTGGAATTCAACGAAACTTTAGGGGAATCATCAATATCAAGAGGAGATGCGCATATCGTCAGCTTGTTCCGGTCAGACCATTTGACTCAGAGTTATGGCCCTTGATTAGTTATGTAGTATGCATGTAGAGTAAAAATCGTTTCCGCACTACTTCTCTGCAACTACTGGCTGGAATTCAAAGAAACTTTATGGGAACCTTCAATACCAAGAGGAGATGTGCATATCGTCAGCTTGTTCCGGTCAGACACTTTAACTCAGAGTTATGGCCCTTGATTAGTTATGCAGTATGCATATAGAGAAAAAATTATTTCCGCGCTACTTCTCTGCAACTACTGGCTGGAATTCAACGGAACTTTATGGGAACCTTCAATACCAAGAGGAGATGCGCATATCGTCGCCTTGTTCCGGTCAGACACTTTAACTCAGAGTTATGGCAATTGATTAGTTATGCAGTATGCATATAGAGCAAAAATCTTTACGGCGCTACTTCTCTGCAACTTCTGGCTGGAATTCAATGAAACTTTATGGGAACCTTCAATACCAAGAGAAGATGCGCATATCATTGCCTTGTTGGGGTCAGACACTTTAACTCAGAGTTAAGGCCCTTGATAAGTTATGCAGTATCCATATAGAAAAATATTAGTTTCCTCGCTACTTCTCTGCAACTACTGGCTGGAATTCAATGAAACTTTATTGGAACCTTCAATACCAAGAGGAGATGTGCATATTGTAGCCTTGTTCAGACATTTAAACTTAGAGTTATGACCCTTGATAACTTAGGCAGTATACAACCAGAGCAATAATAGTTTCCGTGCTACTGGCTGGAATTCAATGAAACTTTATGGGATACTAAAAGGAGATGTGCATATAGTCGCCTTGTTCCGGTCAGATACTTATAACTCAGATTTATGACCCTTGATTAGTTATGTAGTATGCATACATCTCATTGGCATTTCCAGATATTACTATTTAACACAAAGTTATGGCTCTGTTATTGCCCTGAATATTTATCAAGTTCAAAGAATATTACTGTTTATGCCATGATAAATATATAAATAAAGCCTCATTTTTTCAGTTGTTGTGTTAATAAAAACCAGTACTCGGCGGGGGATATAAATTCAACGAATTTGCTTGTTATCATTACACTGGTAACAACTGGTGAGATTTTCCCCTAATTTTCAAAACACTGGCAACAACTGGTGAGATTATCTGCTAATTATCATTACACTGGAAACAACTGGTGAGATTTTCCCCTAATTTTCAAAACACTGGCAACAACTGGTGAGATTATCTGCTAATTATCATTACACTGGAAACAACTGGTGAGATTTTCCCCTAATTATCAAAACACTGGCAACAACTGGTGAGATTATCTGCTAATTATCATTACACTGGCAACAACTGGTGAGATTTTCCCCTAATTATCAAAACACTGGCAACAACTGGTGAGATTATCTGCTAATTATCATTACACTGGCAACAACTGGTGAGATTTTCCCCTAATTATCAAAACACTGGTAACAACTGGTGAGATTATCTGCTTATTATCATTACACTGGTAACAACTGGTGAGATTATCCCCTAATTATCAAAACACTGGCAACAACTGGTGAGATTATCTGCTAATTATCATTGCACTGGTAACAACTGGTGAGATTATCTGCTAATTATCATTACACTGGTAACAACTGGTGAGAGTATCTGCTAATTATCATTACACTGACAACAACTGGTGAGATTATCTGCTAATTATCATTACACTGGTAACAACTGGTGAGATTTTCCCCTAATTATCAAAACACTGGTAACAACTGGTAAGATTATCTGCTAATTATCAGCGTGAGCCCTGTCTTAACAGAAAAGAGATTTGCTAGATTGCACAGACATTAAACATTTGTGGCATAGATAATTCTTTATAATTGTCACAAGCAGTCAGTTCAAAGTAAATGAGGTTTAACAGCAATCACTTATCAACACCACTTGGTCACCCTCTACCATGCAATGCTCTATTTTATTATTATAATATTGTATTTTGTTCATTGAAATTTCATCCAGACTGTACTGTTATAAGTTATGTTGATATCTTGTTGTTTGATCTTTATTCAGAATATTCATATCTACAACATGTGCATTAAAAGTCAGGGATTTTCATATGATTGTGAGATATATATTTCACAGTAGGTTTATTTGAAAGGATGATCACAATTATAGACAAATGAAGGAACTGTACAGTCTCATTGTTTTCAATCATATTCCATAGCCATATCTTGGCAGTGTTATAGAAAAAAACCCACCAGCAGTCGACTTATTACAGACAACCCTAATATAGCTTTATACCCTTTAAAGTGTACTTCTGTCATGAAGTAAGTGATGTATTTACGCTAAATCTTCTGTCAGACAAGAAACTTGTTACGTTGGAAGGTGATAAAACACTTCCAAGAAACAGGAGATATTGTGAAAATATACTCTCAACATGATGATATTTACCACTGGATTTTTCAGGATTTTAAGCATGACAACAAAGTATATAGTTTATCAGTTGAACTTCTTGAAAGATTACTGGCCCTAACATAGAACGCACTCTAACATAGAATATAATGTTGAAAGCACATTTTCACTGTTGAAGGCATTATGACTATTTTGTTACTTTAAAATTATGGATAGTTTAATAGCAAATATTTCTGACCAGAGTAAGTTTAGTTTGTATAATACTATTGAATAACATAGCAAAGTCACCTCCCTATTATAATGTCCAACATTTGTCCTGTCTTTACTTAACAGGAGAATACATACATGTATTTCAATTTTTCATTTTATAAACCAATGAGGATTTCTTTTCAGTAAAATTTAACATCTAAAAAGCTCTAACATGAGAATTAGGTTAGAAATTTCATATAAATATACTGTATATTATATGAAAATGTTATTTTTTGTTGAACTACAATTTCAGACACAAGTAAAAGATTGATTGCTACAGAAAATGGAATTCCAGCTCTTTTATTACTCCTGCAGTCAACAGATCTCAGAGTACAACGAAACGCAGCAGGATCTCTTCTCAATCTCACTCATATACGTAAGATTTTCTTCACTTTTTACCTTGATTGTAATATAATTATAGCCTTGAAAGGTGTGATTGGGTTTGGAACTTCTTTAATGCTTGAGAGGGAATTTAGCACTGTTATTGTGGAATAATTCAGATAAATTACTGTGTTTGAAAGAGAATTTTATGGCTACTATTGTATTTGAGAGGGAATTGAGAGGTATTATTATATTTGAGAGGGAATTGAAAGTTATTATTTATTTAAGAAGAAATTGAGAGGGAGAGGTATTTATTTTTTTTTGAGAGAGAATTTAGAGGTATTGTATTTGAGAGGGAATTGGGAGGTATTTTTGTATTTGAGAGGGAATTTAGGAGTGACAGAATCATGCTAATTTTACAACATCTACTTGTTTCTTATGAAATCATATTTATTGTTCAGGCTTTTTATTTTAAACATTATATTCATATTTAATAATACATCAAGATAAGGTAACATTTTATTTTTTAAAAAACATATCAAATTTCACATTTCATGAAAATTTGATACCCCCATCAAGATCAAGTTATATATAATTCCTAAAAAAAATTCAATCACTACTCATTAAGTGGTACTGATATAGACTTCGAAATATAGGTAATTGCTATCTAATTCTTGTTGCCATGGAGTTATTTGATTTGATGGATTTCAAAAATCAGATTTCAAATTAGTCAGTTTTTTACAAAAAAAAAAGTATGTGACATTAAAATGTTTTTTACCGGATCCCATAAAATATTTTTTTCAGTGACTAGATCAAAGTAGTCAGAAACTAAAACTTTCTTTACATGAAAAGTCACCTCTGCTTTAAAATAAGAGACATCCAAGGCAATTATTTGCATGACATCAGTCTTTCATGTCAATAGAAATTTAATAATTTTGTTAATTTGTGAAGTGATATTATGCACATCCATTAGGGTATGTAATGAGTGAACAGGTGAAAATCAGAATAAGTTTACATTTTACATTTTCCCCTTATATTTTATAGCTGAATAAGGGTTGTTTCCCCCAGCCCAAAATAGGTATATTTTTCCTTAATATGTTAAATTTCCCCTTTAATGCCCTGTACACATTCTTCGCCAGAACCATAACTTAACAACAGGTGATTTATATCAGCTAGTTAATAACTTCAATTGACTGTAAGACAGAAAATTGTCCCAAATAGATAGCCTCTGTTATGTACTATACATAATAAATTTAATTGAAATTGGAAATTTTGAAAAATATATCTGTAAATTCCATTATCAGTTGTTAGAATTTAATTTCAAGTTTTCCCCCTTTTCTGATGTATCGTGCTATATTGTCCCCCTTCAGAAAGCCACAAGTTGTTTTGAAAATTGGAAGAAAAAACATCATAATGTCACTTTAACAAATGTTTTACAATTGTTGCAGAGGAGAACCGGAATGATCTTGTCAATGATGGGGCAATCCCGATTTTGATCGGGGTTTTACAGCACACAAATGATAACGACTTACAGTATTATTGTAGTGCAGCTCTCAGTAATTTAGCGATCAACGAGAAACATCGAGCCATGATGGTTGCTGTCGGCTGCCACGATATTATTGAGCAAATGATTCGTCTTTTGATGACAAAATCAGAAAGGGTAACATATTTTATAGATTTGATGAAGGTTTTGCTTTATAACTGCTGTATGTTGATTTGAAATGGCTTAAAGACAAATCAATACAAAAAACAATAACTTTTGTTTAATCGTTATTGTTTAGATAATTACGTTTAATCATTGAATAACCAATATAAATTACGTATAATTGTTCAGTCTTTTAATTGAAAACAGATTACAATTTATGTAATAGGATTCAGGGGTTCTTAAATTTTGCTTAAGTTAACTTGCCTATAGACAAGTAACAGCTTTGATTTTACTTGCCTGTAACAATTATTTACATGTCCAGACAGTTTTAAGCATAAAAAACCAGGCAAGTTAGAAAGAAATATTTGCTTGCCCATACAGCAAAATGTACAACATGGACAACTCATATAAGTCTCTGGGATTGCTACTATACTAGTGTATAAGTTTTTATGTTTAAGACAATATTTACATTAGATGTCCAAAGGAATTTCAGCACCAAAACCCAGTGTCTTAATCAAGAAAGTATTATTATTTCTTTATTATTATTTTTTTAAGAACTATGTATGATAAACTGAAATATGATTTTATAATGTATCACTTTTGCTAGGTGAAGTGTCAAGCATGTTTTGTCTTGAGAAATTTAGCATCTGATGGTAAGTTGAAAACTACTAAATGTTTTCACACTAGATATTTCATAGCAGTCTCAACTCTAGCATCTAATTGGCTGATTTTGAAAATTTATTGAAAATTGTCAAAAAGGAGGGATTTGAGTCCAAAATGTTTAAAAGTGGGTGGGGTGTTTCATGTCTCAAAGGCCGAATGCTATTATGATATAATGTAGTATCAGTTTGAAATTTACTGGTGTAGGAAGACCCCGCAATGCCTGGCTTAATTGACTTTGTTCATAAAGATGCAGAACTTCAACAGATTGATCTCAGACATTGAGTCTAATGGTCATTTGTCTCTCATTACTTAAATAAAATATATATTGTCATTAAAAAAAGTTGTCATACATTTAAAAAGAGTTTGTTTAAAGTGACAAATTTATGTTTCTAATTTTTTCTATTTTCAGTTGACAATCAGAGTTTGATAGTTCAATATAAGGCATTACCTGCCTTACACAGGTGTATCAAACATTCTAAACGTGAAACGAAGTCTGCAGCGATGGCATGTATCAGAAACCTCTCCATTCATAAAGCTAATGAGGTAAAATTCTAAGCATTCTTAATGAGGTAACATTCTGAACATTCATAAAGCTAATGGGGTAACATTCTAAACATCCATCATGAGGTAACATTCTGAACATTCATAAAGCTAATGAGGTAACATTCTAAACATGCATAAAGCAAATGAGGTAACACTCTTTATTTCATAAAGCTTATAAGGTAATGAGGTAACACTCTAAATGTTCATGAAGCTAATGAGGTAAATCTCTAAACATCCATAAAGCTAATGAGATAACACTCTATATTTCATAAAGCTAATGAGGTAACACTCTAAATGTTCATGAAGCTAATGAAGTAAATCTCTATATTTCATAAAGCTTATGAGGTAACCCTCTATATTTCATAAAGCTAATGAGGTAACACTCTAAATGTTCATGAAGCTAATGAGTTTAATCTCTAAAGATCCATAAAGCTAATGAGGTAACACACTGTAAGTATATCCCTGTATAAACTTAGAATTCCATGCTGTTTGTTTATTTTTCTGGTTTTATGCTGATTCTAATGCAACTAATTGGCTTTTCTGGATAACAAACTATTAATTACTAATTCTTCTGTAAGTGACTGACTACTAATCCCTGTAAAGCACTTATGCAGAATTATGCTCTATTTTCTATGCTGCATTTATTTAACTTATCAGCACTGAGAGAAGTGGAACATTCTGTCCATGGACACGTCTTGTGTGTAATGTACTTTTAACATATGTGCAGCGTTTTTTTGTGTGCAGAAATAACAGATTTTTTTTTCTTTTCATACATTTTTTAAAGGGTCCAATATTATCTACAGAGATTTTGGGAGACATGTTTGATATTTTAACTGACTCTTCAATGCCGGAGGCACAAAGACATGCTGCTGGCACCATACGTAATCTTTCTGTGGGAAACCATATAAGGGTAGGTAACCTATAATGCATTCATAAAAGGAAGTAGATTCCATGGTATTTTCTTACCTGAAATTTCAATAATTTCATGGAATCAATCTTTAATTTATTTTGGTTAGATATTAATGCAATGTTATTTAGAATAAGTTATAAATCTTGATAAAAGTTACAAAAATGTTTCTCTAGAGGCACCTCTGTTGTTCAGTTTTGCCCACGGAAGTAAACCGGAAGTCTTTCAGCCGCAAAGGATTATGGTTTATTCGAAAGTCAAGAATTTAGCTTTACCATACTTGTGTAATAGATTGGCCCTGCTTTGGATGTTGGCTATACGTTGTGTGGAAAGAAAAGGGATTCATTAGAGACTGCATGACACTTATGTCATTAGCCCTCTTATAAGAGCCGTGTCACGACAAAACCAACATAATGGGTTTGCGACCAGCATGGATCCAGACCAGCCTGCGCATCCGCGCAGTCTGATCAGGATCCATGCTGTTGGCTTACAAACCCTATAACAAGTAGAGAAACTGATAGTGAACTGATCAGACTGTGCAGATGCGCAGGCTGGTTTGGATCCATGTTGGTCGCAAACGCACTATGTTAGTTTTGTCATGACGCGGCTCATATGTCATTGATATCCATAAATATATGGACCCTTGCAGTGTATGTATCACTGTAGGGAGGATGTTATCTCACTATGTTTCTATTGTAGAGAAGATTTTCAAATGGATTAAAAAAAAAGAAAATAACAAAGAGAATATTATTTTCTTTGTAAGAGGAAACTGGTATGTATAATAAATCCTGTTTTGTTGGCAGGAACTTGCAGAACATGGTTGTGTAGAGAAACTTGCGACAGTGTTACTGGATATAGAAACACGGATATTAGTTCTTACAGAAGTTACGGCAGCTCTGGCAGTCATGGCTGATGATGGTGAGTCTTAATTTGTTAAAAAAACTGAATTTTATGTATGTCAGTTAAACAGGAATTAATAATTGATATCTGTCTGAGTGGTGTTGGCTATTTAACATGAGTTTGGAGTTTTGCTGTGTAGGAATTGACCACAAAGGCTGTAGGCATTCTTAGTATGTTGTCATTATGCTGCTAAAGAATTGGTGCCAAATTTTCTTACATAATTTAATCAACTGATATGGATAAAACCTGTGGCGATGTGAGATGTTATTTAATCATCATATTATGAAAAGAAAACATAATAAGAATGAAAAATGTCAATAAAAATGTGTTATGATTGTTGCCTTTAAGATGCTTTGTCAACTATCTTATCAGAGGGTGAAAAAAACCCAACAAAAAAGAGTCACACCATACATGTAGTCCCGAACATGTGTTAATTGGCAGATTAACAACATTTTTTTTACTTCTTTATGTATAGTGACAAAATTACTAGGCCTGTTAGAATATAAATAAGAAATAAGATAACTAGTGTAAACAGCTACTTCAGAATATCACTGTTATTTCTACACTTTTTCAGTAAACTTCTGTTGCCACAAATTGTAATTTTTTTTTCTTGCTGGAAAACCTGTGAAAGAAATTGGGAAATTTCCATATGATCATCAAAGCTATTTTGATATATTTGAAAGTTTTAGTGCAGAGAAGTTTTGGTATACAGAAGAACATTAATTTCATATTTCTGCAGTATCTTAACAAGGATCAAAATTACAAGATGCAGATCTTATGTTTTTCTACAAATAATTCTTGTTTTATTTTGATTTTTTTTTTCCAGATCATGTTAAGCATCAGTTACTACTTATATTTGATGGAAAAATCTTTGTTAAACTGGTTACCATGGCAACGCTTTCAACAAATACTGAAGTCCAATACAACAGTGCGGGTATTCTCGGACAGTTGGCTTTGACAGGTAATCATTGCAACAAGTAGTGTATCTTTGTGATGGTAGTTTACCTTCCAGTAAGCCACATTGAATTTACCGAAGTTTAAGTCAGCCACCACATACTTTTTGGGGAAGCTTTCAAGCAGTTTAATAGTGCTAGTTGCATTTCCTTTCACAAGGAACTGATAACTTCTGTTCATGGCACAGCAGAGGTACAGTGTGAATGACAGTAGAAAGGATTTCATAATCAGTTACTACGAAAATGACCTGCACTGTCCGAGAATCAAATTAGGGTAGCCTGATTCACAGTGAAACAGAGTGTTTGACTGTGAATCAGGCTACCCTCTTGAACTAGTCAGATGGTCTTGACCATGTGATTATCTGTATCATTGCCTATATAAATTGTTGGTCAAAGTAAAGTTCAAGATCATGATTCTGGCATGATCTGCAATGACTATATTGCAAGGGAAACCCCAAGAGCTAGTTAAGGGCCTTGATTCTGTGATTAATGGCCTCTGATCCCTAACACACATTGATACCATCCATAAACAGAACTAAATGTTTTGGAAAAAAAAATATGATGCTATATTGGGGTGTTAACCATTATGCAGTCATTTTGTGCATGGGCAATTTGTTTTATATGCAATTTATTACCATATTTCTTTCATACAAACAATTTCAAAATATTCTTTCTTAAAGCTCAAACAATAAGTTTTGCAGGAGATAATAACTTTATTCTTTAAGTGATGTTAATTCATGAAGTAATAATCTTTTCCTCAAATAAAACAATATGTTATGTGTGTTTTACATATAACTTTGACTGATATATATGGTACATGTACTTAAAGAATGTGTTTATTTTCAGAAATTCCATCCCAGCTGAAAGTTGACAATATTCAGGGTATATTATTGTACATTGACAAATTCCTCAAATCAGATGACTCAAATTTTGTTCATATAGCATTATGGACTTTAGTGCAATTTTTAAAAGGTAGGTCAGATTTGATTTTCTACCAGTAAAATTATGTTGAAAACAAGTTTAAAAATCTGTTGTGTATTTGTATTTTCTGATCAAAGATCAGGAAATACAATGCTGACATTCAATCTCTGGCACAGCGCTTCCCGACAAACCTAACAACAAGTAGTTCTCAAAACACCTTAAAACTAGCAATGAAAAAGAAGGAAATATTTTTATTTTGTTACAAATATCCAACAAATTAGTGAAATTACAAGGCATTCAAAGTTTAAAAGTAGCTTTGGCTTATAGAATTGTCAATAATTGCACAATAAAAAATTACGCGGATGAATATCATTTTAATCAATGAAAATTGCTCAGCTATTTCCGTAAAGCTTCAGATTATTGTAATCAGAATTAATGAACATTTGTTATTTAGACTTTCTGAAAAATAAAGTAAGGCTGTTGACTCTTGGAAGGGACGAATTTAGGGCAGTCAACATCGATAATCAATTTCTACCATAAGTTAAGCACCCGATAATTAAATCCACATATACAAAATGCTATTTTTAGCGCTGTCGATTACCGAGGACCTATGCGCATATCACACAAATAAATCTGACTGTCAAGTAGTGAAATATATACATAAATTTAGAATAATATGGTTTTAATCAGACTGATTTCATATAACATCACCGTGGCCCAGGGGTTACACACTTATTTACAATGTGAGAGGTCTGAAGTTCAAATCCCAGTCGTGGCAACTAATTTTTTATTTAAGTGTCTTTTTAGCCTTTTTAACATTCTTTCTTAGAAATTAGCCAGGATATGCAAGGATTAAGTGTGGCTGTCAAAAAATCTAAAGGCAGTCAATGCAACTCGTTGCCCTGCAAGACGAATTGTAGTATTCCAAAATAAAACTTATACATACAGATAGACAGTACGGTTTTGATTGCAAAGATCAGAAAATACCACAGAGCTTGTAGCCCTTTGGTTTTTCTCTCTATTTCATTGAAGAAGAAAAAAATGGGGCTATTGTCATGACTCATCAGCTTTGATGTTGGTCAATCTTTTAGTTAAGGTCCATTTTGTCAGAAACTATTAAAAGTTTTAAATCTGTTGATGTTGATGTTTTTAGACATATTCTGTGTATGAGAGTAACTTTTAAGTTATAAAAATGAAATATTCCACATCAAATGCAAAAAGACGAAACATAAAAAAGTAACTAGAGACTATAGGTTTTGACAAATGTAGAAAAAAGTGCACTATAGGGCAGTTAGGGCCCGTTTGCTTCTTTTATAGATATGTAAAATTTAATTTTTGTCCTCCTTTCTTATTTCAGATCCATTATTTTTACAAGCTTTTAGAGAACATGGAATTGAGCATATTGTCAACAAACTGACAAGTTTGGATAATCTGGTCACAGTGCAAGAACTTGCTTCCAAAGTATTGATGAAATTAACAGGAGAATCTGAATCAAGCAACGCATCTAGCAGTGAATGAATCAAGTGGAGCCCCTTCCAAAATTGTTACTTTATTTAAATATTTATTCCTAAATGTGTAAGGAATTATTCATTATCTGAAACAGTTGATGGGATTTTGAAGATTGAGACATTATTTTGTAGTAATTTAAATGTATAAAAAATACTTGATTTTTAAAAACAAAGGTGGTGAGATCACACTTATGTTAAAGTATAGTGTATTAATTAATGCTTAAACTTTAAAAGTGACATTATGTCCATCCAAGGGTATATAGTGAGTGAACAGGTGAAAGTTAAAATGTGAAAAATTTCCTTTCAATCTTATAATTTTGAAAGACAAAAAACTCACATACTCCAAGGAAATTTCTAAAATTGTCCATCAGAATTCAATTTAAAAAGAGTGGGACTTTTTATATTTTTCGGCAAATTACTATTTCCTCAGAAACACTTTCCAATATCAACAGCTGGTCATTCAACATTATAATAGTCAATCTTTTGAAATATATTGTGAATTTATCTCCACCTGACAAAGAAAAAATTAGTATGATGTCACTTTAAACTTGATGAAAAAAAAATACTGTGATTAACCCTTGACTTGCCTGACACTATACTGGTGGGAAAGGCTCATCACAACAGGCTTCAGCAGAGCAAGGGTTAAATATACAGGTTGTCACCTTAGTGCTATAATTTGTTAACTCCTAGTAAATTTAGGACTTAACCCGGCTGCACTATGGTGGTGAGGTTCATTATATATTTGAATGAAGAAAAAATCTATAACAGGAAGAGGTTATTTTATTTTTTGTCTGACAGAACATTATTGCGTATGATTGTTAAGTATTGGTTAATATTTGTGTAACTATGTAATTTGTCACCTTAGTGCAGTAACGGTTTAACTCTTTATAGAATGTAATACCAGTTAACCAGTTAGTTCACTTAGGTGACAATATAGTTACAAATCATAAAATGATGACTTTTTTGTGTCTTAATAGGACTCCATGTAATTCAACTTTTACTCAATGTTGTGAACAGCGCTTTACATTATCAGTGCATTATTTGAAACTTTGCGCTCTTAAATTGAATTTCCAACAAAATATTTTGTTCCATTAATTCTATGTGTCAAACAATATACAAATGTGTGTATGTTTTACTGAAAGTGAATTATTTTATTATCAGAAGACCAGTTTTCACATTTGACTGAAGTGTTTGCTGTTGTCATAATCATATTATATTGAATGAAAGTAATCAGATAAAAAAAAATGGAAAAAAGGGAAGAAAAATGATGCTGAATTTTCCATACGGTTAACATGTAAATTTGCTGTGTGCTCTACTCAGATAATATTACTGCTTTGTGGGGGTAGGGGCCTTTAATGTTAGAAATATTATGTGCAGAAATAACAGGGGCAATATAAAGATCTGATGATGGTGATTGTATGGGTGTGATGGTAGAGGAGATATATAATGCACAAATGACAGAAGGAAAATGTTGGTCTGGGCAAAGATTACAAAAGTCATATGAAGTATGGTCATAGAGGTCAGACAACAGGGTAGTTTTGTAAGCTTTATGACATAGGGGTTATTTGGGTGTAGTTATAGAGGGGGTTATGCTGGTAATTTGAAATAGAGTGTGTATGACAAGATTGGTTATATAGATGTAATAACATAGCAGTTATGTGGGTCTAACAGAGATGTAATGTGGGTGTAATAACACAAGGGTTATGTAGGTTTATGTGAGATGTAATGTGGGTGTAATAACACAAGGGTTATGTGGGTCTATTGATAAAGGTGGAAATGCAGGTCATTTCATTAAGAGATAGGGTATGAGGATTTATAACTGATTAGTTGTGTGGCTGTAATGATATTGCAGATACTTGGGTGTAATGATAAATGGGGATATATAGATTATATCAAAAAAAAGTATGTGAATATTTGACTGATAATTCAGATAAAATGATAGAGGGATGATATGGGTTCAAAATGAAAGTCGTAATGCAAATTTTAAGTTAAATGGTTTATGTAGGGTCTAATCATGGGAAAGTAAGGCAAACCTGATTGACATGGAAATTATGCAGATTAACTTCAATAAAAATGTATAATACATTACAAAAAGATTCATTTAAGTTTCACTTTCCTGGTATATATGAACAATTTTTTCTTCCAATACTCATTTATAATTAGGAATCATCTCATCTTATAACATTCCTTTTGTTTTGATATTCTAACCAGTTTTGTTTTACATTCCTATATCATATACCAGTGATAATAAGGTTGTATTTTAGAATGTTTTTATAAGAAGATCTGACAATAATTGTTCATGCATTTTTTGTGTTCATTTTTACATATTTTTATACTTGAGTGTATACCTGATTATTTCCTGCACATTAAACCAGTTGCCTCCATTGTTTCCATTTATAGTAAACTCCATTTATAACGACATCGCTTATAACAATACACTAGTTATAACTTTATACCTCCTATAACGATGCTGTTGCCATGGTCCCGACTCCTGTTTTCAAATTAGTTGCATCTTGGACTTAATGGTAACTGCATATAACAATGTAAATTCTGCAGTCCTAAGAATGTCCTTATAAGCGGAGTTTACTGTACTATTATTTCTTATTTTTATTATTAGTGTGTATATTTTAAAACGTAACATACCTTCATGACTTTTTCTCTTTTTTTTTTTAAGAAATATATTTGTATATATATTATTAAGCGCAGAAAGTGTTCAAACATTTTTTTTTACCAAACCATTTTTTTTTTACATTTTTCATCTCTTATTTTTACATTTTTCTCCTTTTATTTTTAGCTCACCTGTCACAAAGTGACAGGGTGAGCTTTTGTGATCGCTTTTCGTCCGGCGGGCGGCCGTCGTCCATAAACTTTTGCTTCAAATGACATCTCCTCATAAACCACTAAGCCAATTTCGTCCAAACTTCACAGGAATGTTCCTTTGGTGGTCACCTTTAAAAATTGTTCAAAGAACTCTGGTTGCCATGGCAACCGAAAGAAAAAACTTTAAATATCTTCTTTTAAAGAACCCAAAGAGCTAGAGCTTAGATATTTGGCATGAAACATCTTCTAATTAGTGTCTACCAAGTTTGTTCAAATAAAAGCCCTGGGGTCAAAATTGGCCCCGCCCCAGGGGGTCATTGATTTTCCCTATATGCATATAGTAAAAACTTAAAAAAAATTCTTTTAAAGAACCCAAAGAGCTAGAGCTAAGATATTTAGCATGAAACTTCTTCTAGTGAGTGTCTACCAAGTTTGTTCAAATAAAAGCCCTGGGGTCAAAATTGGCCCTGCACCAAAGGGGTCATTGATTTTCCCTATATGCATATAGTAAAACTTAAAAAATCTTCTTTTAAAGAACTCAAAGAGCTAGAGCTAAGATATTTAGCATGAAACATGTTCTAATGGGTGTCTACTAAGTTTGTTCAAATAAAAGCCCTGGGGACAAAATTGGCCCCGCCCCGGGGGTCATTGATTTTTCCTATATGTGTATAGCAAAACTTAAAATACCTTCTTTGAAAAAATCCCAAATAGCTAGAGTTTAGATATTAAGCATGAAACCTCTTCTAGTGAGTGTCTACAAAGTTTGTTCAAATTAAAGCCCTGGGGTCAAAATTGGCCCCGCCCCGGGGGTCATTGATTTCCTTATATGTGTATAGCAAAAACTTAAAAAATCTTCTTTGAAAAAACCCAAATAGCTAGAGTTTAGATATTAAGCATGAAACATCTTCTAATAAGTGTCTACAAAGTTTGTTCAAATAAAAGCCCTGGGGTCAAAACTGGCCCCGCCCCAGGGGTGTCATTGTTTTTAACTATATGTGTATAGTAAAAACTTAAAAAATCTTCTTTTAAAAAACCCAATGAGCTAGAGCTTAGATGTTTAGCATGAAACATCTTCTTATGGATGTCTACCAAGTTTGTTCAAATAAAAGCCCTTGGGTTAAAATTCACTCTGCCGGGGGGGGGGGGGGGGTGAGAAGGTCATTGTTTTTCCTTATATGTGTATAGCAAAAACTTAACATCATGAAACATCTTCTAATGGGTGTCTTAATTCCAAGTTTGTTCAAATAAAAGCCCTGGGGTTTAAACTGGCCCCGCTTCGGGGCCTATATACAGGTGAGCGACCTCAGGGCCATCATGGCCCTCTTGTTACATTTTTCTGGTTTTTATTAACAATTTATCAACTTAACCTTTCACCTTCTAGATTAACCTTTACCAACAGTATATAGAGTAAGGCCATCTTTTCATACAGCCTGAAGAGACTATAAACTGTTGGTAGCGCAATCTTTGAATTTTGACATTAAAATCCGTTATAATGAACTCCACTGAGGAGCTGAAAATAGTGAGAGGGTAAATCTATAATAGGAATTTAGTAGGTTATAGGTAAAATTCATTGTGATTGTGTCTTAAATATCATATATTTTTTTCTTTTTCAAGATCTCATTTATTTATAGAAAATGAACATGACAATTGTGATTTTTACCCCAAATGGAATAGTTATGTTACTTTGGTATCATGTGATGATTGGAATGTTGTAATTCAATCACTGTTTGTCTGTATAGAACTTTTTGAGTTGTAGAAATATAAGCTTGTCCTTTAGATTGTAGAGGTCAATGCATATTTTCAAAATTTCTAAAAATTTATCGAAGCTTTTTATCTTCTTTATTTATCAACAGAATTGGTATTAAGGATTGGGAGTGTTTCTTGAGTTTTATGAACTGAACTGAACTCGTCTTGATAAAAAGTTATATTTATGACCTTCTATTTCTACATATTTTTGATAATGGCGATATTAGGATACTTACCGGTACACTACAAAAATTATGTAATCAAGGACAAAAGTGAAAAAATTTTTGTTGAATTTTATCATTATGTTGATTTTTCAATTAAACTGTTGGTATATCGATGATATATTTTTCTAGGAAAAAAACTTTCTTTTTATTAAAAGTAAAGATTTGTATTTCTTCCACAAGGAATGTTAAATCAAACATTTTGACTTGGTAATATGACCTGTTATATAAGTTTGTAACTTTATTTAATAAATGGCAAATACATGTATCTATAAATATATGTATAAGGCAATGGTACTTGTCGAATGGCTTAAAAACAAATTAATTATACTCAATTTTTTTTTTATTTAAACAAACATTAATTCACAAATTTTCAACCTATTGGTTATAATTATCTTTATATTCACTTCTGTCCAACAAAAATGGGTGTTTCAAATATGCAGTATTTTATGATAATTTAATAAATTAATGTATAAAATTTGAGAAAATGAGATTTATTTTTATGCAACAGAACTTTAATTCAGGTATGACTTTTGGTTAGTGCAATGTATTTTATATGTAGATGTAACTGTAGTCAGATAAATATTGTGATAATAGTATCATGTTTTATATGTAAAAATAAAAGATGTCCCAGATATCTTATATACTCTTTGTTTTTTATATCATGTTGTCCACATCCCAAAACCTGTATACTTGTTGACAAATTTTAGTGGGGGCATGGCCAAGTGGTTAACGCATCTGACTTGTAATTTTATGATCGCTACCAGCATGGGTTTAAACCCTGTCAGGAACAAGTCTTTGTTTTCTTGAATAAAAAACTTGACACTCATTTAAGCTCAGCACTGGTTAGTCCCAGGAACAGATTCAAGAGTGTGTCTTTAAGTTTATAGCTTCCTGCACAATCAAACTAAAATTTCGTTTTAGCAAAATAAGAATTTCCATATGGTTTCAGTAAAGTTTTGACAGTAGTATGATCAATATTTGTGGGTATACCAAGTTATGTAAATTTTGAAACTGGCATAATTATGCATCAATATGAAGCATCGCATAACTTGTAAATAATACCCATGTCATCCAAGCTTCAACATACAAAGTCACAGTAAGAAAGAAGATATTGTTTTGATGATGTTTAATCCGGTATTATTTGATGTAAACCTGTGAATTCTTGTAGGATTAAGTACTATTTTGAGGGGGGAGGGGTCATAAGTTGATGGTCAGTGTCACCAAAACCTAAATTGTGTTTCATAAAAAAAATATAAAAAATGAGGGAAAAAACTGTACACATCTGTCAATATTCTAATTACTGATATTAAGAATCTCTTGTCAGCTAACTGCCCTCCGGTATAGAACTGAAATACTGTTGTACTAAAAATTAACCCAAAAAAAGGCACAAAAATTTTCAATTGAGGAAGCTATTTGAGAGCTTCTCATATCTGAATAAAATGTACAAAGGGGCACCTGAAATCTTCCTTCACCATTAAAGCTGGAAAGCTGCCTGATGATCTTTATAGTGTCCTTGTGATTTTTTTTAACCCAAGGAAACCAACCAAACAAGAAGACAATATAAGTTTTAAAGCTTTTATAATTCCATCTACAAGTACAATGTAATATAAAATATACAGTTAAATAGTCAATGTGTATATCTGAATGACTTACTAAATCTATATACATGTACAAGAAAAAACAGCATGTAAAATATCACATTAAAAACCTTATTACATGTACACAAAATCCATACTTTACTACAAAATTAATGTATTAAAATAAAGCTATCCTTAAACTATATGCTTCCATAAGATTAAAATAATTTTTGAAAAGACACCAAAGACACCATAAAAATATATAAAAAGCCTAATAAATATTCCATATATCCAATCTATGCAACATTTTGCATGATTATGAAAAATATGCCTAATAATTGATTTATTTTTGTACCTTTACCCTGTGACTAATGCTTAGGGCTAGTTTTTAACATATTTTGACAACAACAAAAAAATAAAGTAATTTTAGAGAAAAGTAAATACCTAGAATCACTATTTGTATAATTTTTTTTGACATTGAAATACACAAACTCTTACAATGGACAGTTCTGAAGCCAGAACAAGTGATTTACACAGTTTCAACAACGACTGGGTTGTGACAGCCTAGTGCATAATGTTTAAATTCAAAGAAAAACAAAGTATATTCTGCCGAGGCCTTTGTTCACTTGCACTCTATCAGGATGGACAGATTATTTTAATGAAATATTAAAGGTTATAAAGCTTAATCTGATGAAATATTTTCATAAAATTGATAAATCATAAAATTGTATAGTCCGTTGATTCTCACAAGAGTTGTAACACACATGAATATTGAACATGTACATAAACAGAATAAAATGTTTCAGAACAAAGTAATATGCTGCTAATTCAAGTAGGGTTTTAACCGTTTAGCAATGACTTTGTGCATGCTTTACCGATCACTTTTAAAGAAATATATAAACATAATTATTTCTTTCATACAAGTATTTTGGATTTTTTTTAAAATTCAAACAAAAAATTGTGTATTAACTACAGACAGCCGATATATACTTTTATACATTTTAAAAACTCATTAACCTGTATAAAAAATACACAATGACTTTGAATGTAAATAAAACTCATATTATTGTGCACAACAATGAAATAAACAGTATAAAACTGGACCCATCTTTTTTATATAGACATTTTAAAATTCACTGAAACTTCTATTTATAGTTCACAAAAACATCTTTTTCATATGAAAAAGTAATTTATGCTGTACATTGAGTAAGGTTCTTTAAAACAAAAATTAAACTTTCAAACAAAATTTTTAAAATTAAACATAAGGTCATGAGTAATTTTTTTTTCTGACTGGTTCTATGTTGTTTATTTTTTTTTACAACATTTTAGATTCATCTAGAATAAATCACAGTCTGCTTCACAAAATTTGTGTACAGGGGGTCAAAGTTCATCATCTGAATCTTTTGGAACAGTCCATGGTTGCTTAGGAAACAGATCTTTTGCTGCAAAACAAAAGAAAACACATAAATAGGTAAGTCATGGAAACAAATTCTTAATCATCTACAAATTTGCAAGAGAAAATAAACAAGAGAGTCGTAATAATCCTTATATCACACATCTGATTATAAACTTATAAAGGCTCAGATTAGAAGACTTTTTTTACAATTTTACTACATATGTATACATATAAGGGAAACCTATATGCCCCAGTTTGGGGCTAATTTTGACCAAAGGGCAATAATTAAAACAACTTTGGTAGCAGTCCACTAAAATATAAATAACCTTTCACCATTTTGATTTCTGAGAAGTTCTTTACTTCATACAATTTAATAAAAATCCTCAAAATGGTTTAGGAAAAGATTTTGTTTATAGAAGTTGTGGATAATGACTGACTACCGTGGTTTAACAACTATACTTTATAAAATGCTGCAAAATATACAAATAATTGGCAACTAATTTTATGGAAAAAATGAAATCATGATCAATTTTGTTTTACATTTATATTCAATTTGAAATAAGACTACAAATTTTATCAACATAAATGATTAAACAATCAAATTTGTCTATAAAAAGTAATGATTCATAAGAGATCGAATTGTATATATTAGTGTTTTACAATGTAAGAAATAACCATACTGGGAGGGTCCCTTGGTGTTCTGGCTGAAATCGGTTGCCGCTTTGCTGGTACTGGGTGAGGTGGAGAATATACAGGAGCTGGGCGCATGACCCCTGTCGTCATGTCAACAGGCAAGGTGTTAAAACCATTCCAGTTGTTCAAAGGATCTGGTGAGCTTGCGATAAGTTTCTGTAAAAAATTCCGCATTTTTTTAAAATTAATTCAATGATATATCAATAAACATTTCTCAGAAAGATAAAACAATGATGTCAGCTTTATTAACATTAACCACTTATTCCTACCACAATGCTAACATGGACTTGTCCAGGTTCCCTCTTTGGAACTGTTTATTATCTATTTTGGCGATGTCAAGGGTAAAATTTGAAGTTATCAAATTATCAATATAGAGCCTGATAAACAGGCTGGCTTGTTGGCTATTTACCATACTGGTGACAAAAGCTCTTCATTTTCAGTTCCAACATTCCAAAGAGTTAAGTGCCAATGTGTAGTTATTGTAGTTATTTGCCAGCAGTCAGTGAACCAAGCACCCTAATTGTTATACCTTTTAGTATTCTTAATTTAGAGTTTCATTTTCCATGGAATGCATGCCTATCTTCAGTTGTATATAGGCAGTAACTTCTTATACATTTTAGTAAAATTTACTTTAGGAATTATCTGTTACTTCTGACAAGCAACATATCTAAGATCATAGACTTGGTTTAAATCCAGTCTATTTTCACCACCTTGAAACTATTTGCTTTCTGCAGGTACTTAGGTATTATCATTCTTATGTATAGAAACATGTTTGTTTGTTTTCTTTTCCTGATTTTTATTCAGATTTTAACACATTTTTGGTCTTATTTTGGCTGCCGATCCACCTAACCAGCTTTCCTGGATAACTAATATTTAAAAATTTCTCAGCATGATTTCTAAATCAGCAGTGAGATACAAATGACCATAAGACTCAAAGTCTGATATCAATTGTCAAAGAAATTTTGCTTTGCCCAAAGATTGAACCAGCCATTCATGGATAACTAGTCCAATGTTCTCCCTATTGAGCTAAGTGGGTCAACTACAGATTTAGAAATATGTTAATAGGTAATAATATAAAGAATGGATTACAGTAAGTATATACAGTAAATGCTTGTTTATCTTGTAATTAAGTATAATTATGATCTTCATAAAAATTAAACATACATAGTCATACTTTAAAGGATACAAATGTACATAGTGGTTTACATATAACATGTACCCTGAAATGTTGCCTAAAACTAGGAAAGGCAATCTTACATAGAAGTAGGAAAGGAAATCTTGCATAGAAGTAGGAAAGGCAATCTTGCAATATGCTAGACTTACAACTGTCGACAAAGGCCATTTTAAATTTGAATTATTGTATACATTTGTATATTTGGATACTTACTGTGTATGACTGAGATCTTCGAATTTCTGTATTATGAATATGTTGTCCCGTTTTAACCTTGCTTCTAGAATTACTAGAAATTTTCTTCCCTTCTGTTGCGTAAGATTTCTTCTTTCGTCTAAAAATTTTGATAAAAACTTTGATGTTATATATGTCATCATATGTTTAACACAATTTATATTTTAAAATGATGAATAGTTTACCATACATAAGCAATGCAAAACATTCTAGTAGAATGAGATACAAGATAAATGACTGAAATTTTAAATTGGTGATCCAACCCTTTTAAACTAAAGCACTGAGAATAGTGTGCACAGTGATAATTACTGCCTGGCTGTTTGTGTGCTACCAATGTCTAAATTAGAACACTGTAAGATTTCATAAAAAAATCAACACTTATCTTTAAACCCCATGGATACTGACAACTTATTTTGCCGATAAATTACATTCATACAGAGCATTTAGGAACAAGTAAATGACCCAAGAACTTGAAGAAGTTGACAAACAAATCATTACTTACTCTTTATTTACATCGGATACCACATCATCATTTTCCAGTACGTTGTATCTCCAGGTATCCTTGGGTACTGGGTCCGAGCCTCGCCATGGCGTCGTTTTTGGCTGCTTGGCAGACTTTGGGGGTCGTTTGTGCTCATTCACTTTTGACAGGTCTAATCTTGTATGTTTCTAAAATTATGATAAAAAAAACAAGAACAGTTCATTTCTACAAAATTAAAGATATTACAGAGACTTTTCAGTTAAATATAGAAATAAAATTAAAAGCATGTACATGGCTCAACCAAGCACATATGTACCATCATCATTCTGTGACCTTGCTTTCATGTTTTCAGCAAACTAACATGAGTTTTAGTAAAACTTAATAACTGCAAAAAAAAAATCTAGTTTAAAACAAGAAACTGTCACAATGTCTAAACCCTTACTCTGTTTAATTATGTAATGTAATTACTCTAGTACTACAATAAATTTAAAATATATTAGTGGATGAAGTGCAGGCTGCCTTGTGGTATATGTGCATTACTATTGGTTTTAGCACTGAAAGTGTTCATATAGGTTTTATCTACAGTAATAGAATTACTTTTGGAAACATTATCTGGAGTGTTTTGATATTTTCTATGTAGTTCCGTTTCCATACGCCCACTTCATACTGGCCAGGCATTAATGGTAAGCTCCATCCGAGTTTTACACACTTTGGCATCCACAACTGGTCTAATTCTGTCAAATATTTCCAATGCCAACACACCTATAAAAGAATGTAAGAAACAAAATAAATACAGCTGATGTAAATTACAAGAGACAATTAAATAATTATTAGTTACAATTAAAGATATACTATGCTCAAATTGATATTACATGATATTGTTAATTGCTTCACAGTCTCTTTGTAAATAATATAAGATAAACATGTTTTTACTTCACACAAAGTATATATGTTATGTTTTCAACTCTACACACTATAGGTGGTCACAATATGAATATATAGTGTCATTAAAAAAACTGGCAGCTTTTTCTAAGAAAAGACCAATTAGCTTTATTCATTCATTCTTTTATTTAAATTAGACAAATTCAGTAAGAATTATGAAGATTTCAATAAATTTATGTGGTAAAAATATTTTACTAAAGGATGAGCATTGCATATCTTTAAAGACTCTTTTTACCAATTAATACCTTTGAGTGATATATTACAACATCAAATACCATATACATTGTATACTTATATAGCAATTCTAAGACCAGACAACAGACAGTTCTCTGAATTTAAAACACACATAGCTCATTCACTGCATACTGGGATCAGTGTCCCTGTAAAAAACCATGATTTGAATAACCAAGGATACAACCTATTAACTTATGTTCTTCCATTAAGTTAAAAAAATTTGGAAATCAGAGACTGCAAAATGTTTGGCAGTGGAAGTCACATTATATAGGTAAAGAAGGAAAGGAATTGCATATTGTCAGTCACAAGCCAAAGTCAAGGAGTAAATTACTCCCAAACTTCCACTAACGGAAGCCCTGTCGAAGAACTACAATATATATTCTTTATTGCTTAACTTTAACCAAGTGTAAATCAGAAACTGAAAGAGCAGTATTATTTTGTTTCATCCATAATCTGGGCTGCCATTAGCAGAGTGAGAGACATGCATACCTGTTACCTGATGACCCAGAGTAAAGCTGTAAAGTTGGTAAACATGCATGCCAACAAAATTTGTAGGACTATACAGCATGTAGTATAAAATGTGTTTACATTATTTTAATCATCTTAAATAGGTGCTACTATGTGAATGACAAGAAACTAATTAATAATTACCTGTGAACATCTACTTAGACTTCTGGGATCTAAGAATGAGAAAATATAAATGGAAATAACTCTAGGCAGATGACGAGTGAAATCTCTTTTTAAGGCGGGAACATGTTCCTTTACGTAGTCCCGTATAAATCCTTTCTCTCGGATCTTTGATTTATGTATCAAATCTTCCAGTATCTGTTTCCTCTGATCGTGTGTCCATTTCTCAAACTGTAATAAGTTTTCATTTACAAAATAGCATTAAATTAAGTTTAAAAGGGGAATAACACCAAAATATAGCTTTCAGAGTAATGTCCCTTGTCTTACAACTGCACATTATCATAATAAATAAGTATTCCAATTCTTTTGATGCAAAATAATCAACACTGACAATCCAAGTTTGTGATAAAGAGTAATAGCCAAATTAAAGTAACTGATGGTAATGATTAAAAATCATTAATTTTAGTTTCATAGTAACTGTTAATTATAACCTGACTGAGAATGTTTGGCTACTTTATATCCAGATCAAGCCCTTCTTAATAGGTAATTTATAAAAACCTGAAGTCGATAAAAAGCTACTCAACAGAATGTAATATTTCTACATACCCACTTATTTATAAGAACTCTTCTTTCCTCAAATATCTGTAAATAAAACAAAACATTTTGAATATGCAGAAAAGGAAAGAACAAAAGCATGCCACATTTTTTTTTCATAAATTTATAAAAGATTTAAAAAAGGTCACGACTGAAAAATAACTCAATCTAGCTCTTTAATTTTTGCCCATAAGAAGTAATTACAGTAAAATCAACCATGCCATATTGCTTGCATAAGTCATGCTGTTATTTTTGATACATTGACTAAGCATTCAAAAGATAAATAATGCATTACAGAGTTCCCGACACTACTAAATTGGAGCTACCCTTCTCATTTCACAAAAACATTTACAAAGAAAATATAACTTTTATTTATTCAGTCAAAGAAATTAAGGCTAGAAAACCACAAGCCATTCCAGCTTGTGTTTCATATCTACTAGTAACAACAGGTATTTTAAGACCTAAAAATGTTAAACTTTTAAAGTGAAAATTTAAGACAAGAATTATGATTAATACATTGATGCAAATAGTCAACGCTCTGAGATGAGCATTTTTATGTCACTGATAGGTGACCTTTTTTAAAAATAGCCACATTGATAAGTTTCAGGCAAAAAAATCTGGATTAATGGACATGTAGATTATACAAGATAATGGCCAGGAGTTCTTTAATTCATGTTTCTCTCAATGAAAATCCGCGAAGTGGCCCCGATCTTTGATTTACCAGGCTATAGACTTCACATGTATAATTAAATGGAAATCAAATTTAAAAAAACAATGAAAATTATAGAGAGTTCTATACCTATCAATGAAATTTTAACTTAAGTGTCATATCTGGTTGGGTGCCGCCATTTTCAATGTAACTCAGATAAGATAATCTTTATTTAAAGTTGGTTACAATCAAACATAATAACACTTCTTCTTTCAGTATAGTGAAGGGCCACTGCTGCAGAATTTTCTCACTACTAGCTATATAAGCTATTTTCTGATATATAACAGACTCAAAGATAATAGGCAAGGTATTCTGATAATAGAACAATCGCAACCTTTCAGCTTAATACGGGGAAGTCAAAGACCGGGCCCGCGAAGCGGGTCCGGGCTTTGGCTTGCCCGGCTATAGACTACACGTGTATATTTAAAAGAAAATCAAATAAAAAACAATTAAAAAATATATAGAATTCTATACCTATCAATGAAATTTTCAGTGTCAGTTCTAGTCGGGCGCCGCCATTTACAATGTAAATCAATGATAATAGGCGGGGTATTCCGATAACGGAACAAATCTCAACTTTTCGGATCAATAATAATCGTCGAGTGTTCCGAGTGAAAACGGAAGCGGTGCATGTAATACCGAATGACACCTTTAAAACGGAAAGGAATTTTTCAACGACTTCCCCGTTCATAGGCTTTGCCTAATTTCATATTAATAATTGTCGAGGTGAAAACCGATGCGATGCATCAAATACCTTATGACACCTTTAAAACAGAAAATGTAAAATAAAAAATGAACAAAATTCTTAGACTGATTTCCCAGTTCATAGGCTTTGTCTAATTTCTTTTTATAATTAACGCTTTTTACTTAATTTGTTACCCACTAAAACCAACAGCGTTTTGTTTTACGGTTAAGTACCTGGGTTTTTCAAACGCATAAATGTGAAGCCACTCTTTCGCTCAATATATTTTCGAAAAATATATATGTATTTACAAACCCCCACCCACTTGTTTAATCAATAAACAAGCACAGGCACCTGTCAACTCGAAAATTTTACCTTATTATTTGTTTCTTCGTTACTCAGCGGCGTCCATGTACTTTTAGTTCGATTCTTAGCAATCATCGACATTTTTGTATTTCAATAAAATTACATAAATTTAAGTTAACAAGTAATAAATACAACCAAAACAACTAATTAGTGACAATTAAGCCGCGGTCAGCCATCTTGATGCTTATTTCCGTTGCTGTTCACGGAAAATGGCGTACTTTTACGAAGATAGGACCTAGTTACCGTCCTGTACCGTACCTGTACGTTTTCATATTCGGAGAGTAACGGGTTTGCCTGGGTCTATTATATAGTTTTTTGAAGTTTGATTAATCATATTTTAATGGTTAACAAAGTGAATAATGTTCTAACTAAAATTAAATTTTATATATTCTAACCTAAACTCTTGGCAGAATTCACTATTCAATACTTATAAAACCTACTACGTAATTGTGATTTAATTTTTTTTTAAAGTTATTTAATTTTAAAACATTTTATATTGCCCCAAAATCTGAACAACCAATATTGTTTAGTGTAGACTTTACTTTCTTAGTTCACTGGCAATGTTAAATACCCCTTTTTATGAAACTGTACATAGTGCAATTCTACAGAGCACATGCACTTATATTGTATCAGCTTTATAACCACTGACTAATTTACCACAAAGTTTAACATTCTTCAAACAACATCATTTTCAATTAGGGACTAATATTATCTCCTAAAACCATCACAGAAGGAGCCGACATATTGAGTTTAAGCATAAAGTTTGAGTATATATTTATAAAAATGTATATGATACTGAGAAATAAAAGCATTGTTTTCATACTTCTGATCCATATACCATAGTAGTGTCTTAACCATATTGCCAAACAACTGTACTTGAATATCAATAGGCAAACAAAGTTTTAAATCTTAGTTAAACTATTAAACATTGCCTTCGGAGCTTGATATGTCAAGGTTTTTTGTTTTTGTTTTATTAAATTAACCACTTAACATAAATTTCACACCTAAATAATTAAAATCATTTACAGCATCAAGAGTTTGTTAGACAGAGAAAGAAATACAGGTTCATTCTTAATTCACCACTTGATAATACAGCAACTTTTGTTTTATTAGCGTTTATGAGTAGTGTCACACTTAACAATATTGGAGCATTCAATTATAAGTGCCTTTTGAAAGCCAGCTTGACTTTAACAAACACAACAGCATCAGCATAATTATAATAGTTCATTTATCTAATCTGATAAAAAAAAGCACAAACCCTTCAAAATGGGTATAGATGGATACCGAAAATAAGCTATTTTCGCGAAAATAAGATCGCGGCTACGAAAATAAGATTTATTTTTTAAATAGTGCATTTATCTGTTGAAATAATTATGTAAAATATATATTTATGCATTCATTGAATGATTTTACAGCAAATTAAAATTTCAGAACCAAAAAAATATTTAAAAAAGTGAAGTTTGAGCCGAAAATACTATCGTACGAAAATAGCTCAAAATTGCTGTTAAAGCGAAAATAAGATCGGGTCTACGAAAATAAGATTTATTTTTTGATATAATGTATTAAAAACGTATTTTTTGTTTCTTAACAATTGATTTGTATGAATGAAATAATAAATTTCAGAACTAAAAGTATATTTTAAAAAAGTGAAGTTTCAGCCGAAAATACTATCGTATGAAAATAGCTTAAATTGCCGTGTAAATCGAAAATACGATCGGGTCTGCGAAAATAATATTTATTTTTGATATAATGAATCAAAAACTATTTTTGCTGTTATTAAATGATTTGTTTGAATGAAATAATAAAGAATAAAAAAATTTGTAATGAAATATTAGATGTTTGTGCGGCAAATATGGTAAATATTCCAAATTTACTATAGTAAGAACGCATGAACATATTTTACCAAGATGGCATCTACGAAAATATATATAAGATTTACATGGTTCATAACTTATATTAAAATAGTGTTAACTTTACTTTTAATGATTTTGCAAATAAGTTTTAAGAATGAAATGTTCTCTTATAAGACAAAAAATGTTTGTGGTGAAAAAGTATCAAAATAAAAAAAAAGAACTATTGCAAAAACAACCTGAAACAACGACTACGAAAATAAGATCTAGATCTATATAAGAATATGTACCGTACGAAAATAAAATCATAACAGTACTCTACGAAAATAAAATCTGTAAGGAAATAAAAGCTGTATGAAAGTAATGTTCATACGAAAAAAGGTATATACCAAAATAAGATTTTGCTGTAAATAGTTAATACCTGTATGAAATTATTTATTATTTATGAAAGAACTACATGTACGAAAATAAGATCTGTAAACAATTCAAAGTCAAAACCTGTATGCATTGATATTCGTACAAAAATAATTGAGAATATGATCTGTATGGAAATAATATATGTACGAAAATAAGATCCTATTGAAAATAAAACTATACGAAAATAAGATCTGTCTGTATTCGACTAAGATTTTTACAAATGAAAGATCTGTGAAAATGAAAGTTGCATGAAAATAATATCCTTACGAGAATAAGATACATATGAAAATAATATATGTAAAAAAATTCCTGTATGAAATTACTATATATACGAAAATAAGATCCTATAGAAAATGTGATCTATACGAAAAAAAAAAAAAGATCTGTAAGAAAATAATACGCACGAATATAAGATCTATATGAAAATAAGATCTGTATGAAATAATGTCTGTTTTTTACTAAGATTTTTACGAAAGTAAATTCTGTGAAAATAAAATCCTTGTGAAAATAAGATTTATACAAAAATAATTAAGATCTGTACGAAAATAATGTCTGTATATGAATAAGACTCATACGAAAATAATATTTGTATGATAATAATATCTTTATCAGAATGATATGAAAAACGACTCTATATGAAAATAATGTCTTTACAAAATAAGATCTTTAACGAAAATAAGATCTGTGTAAAAATATGTCTTAATTTTTGATAAAAAAATCTGTTAAAAATCTGTAAAAAATAAGATATCTATATGAAAATTTGATATGATTGGTGACAATGATAAATCGCCAATAAACACCTTTAATGAAGGGCTTTAATAAGTGTGTGTCAATTACGATAAGTGCGAAGAACCAATAATCCAATCATCGTATTAGCGCATTGATTGCTGCCGACAGTCATGTGCACGTGTCATACGTTGTGTCATTTTTTTCCTTCTCTCAAACAGAAATATCTTGTTTATGCATTATTTAATTAAAGTACTTAAAGCAATAAAGTTATATACTTTTCTTTTACTTAATATAGATATTATTTTCATATTAGAATCTACACGTATCTTCAATTATCTTTTATATTGCTAAAATTCATTTCCATAGTGATATCTTATTTTCACGTGTCACGTGATATTGTACACGGAGAACGTGGTTTAGAACGGTCCGATAAAATGTCAATTTTTACAACATTTCTAAAGGATTTAGTTAACAATATGTGGATATAAAGTAATTTCAGTATATGTGTTCTAATGTCCGATAAGAAAAAGAGTGAAAAAAGTGAACTTTTGACTGAAAAATCAAAAAATAAACGTGAAGCCACGTAAAAAGAAAAAATATGACAATACAAAATGGGGGGATTTGATAACGAAATATGGTTTGAAACAGCTTATCACAGATCCTACTAGGATAACAAAACGTACCCAAAAGATTATAGATCATGTTTATACAAACAGTAGCAGATATATTATTGAATCGTTTGTTTCTGATACCTCATTAAGTGATCATTATCCGATAGGTATTTCAAGATCAACGAAAGCATGTAATACCCGATTGATTAATGAACATAATTCGATTAAATATAGATGTTTTAAAAACTTCAATGAAATTGATTTTCAGGCAGACCTTGTTTTATCCGATCTTGAATTAGTCGAGCACATAATAAATCCGAATGAATCCCTTAGCTTATTTTACTCCATTTTAAATACTATCTTGAAAAAGCATGCACCAATAAAAGAAAAACGTATCAAACGTGAACACCGCCCGGAATGGTTTACTGATGAGATAAAATATCTTATACATGAACGCGATTACTATCATAAAGTAGGGAAACATGAACAATACAAATTGCTCAGAAATAAAATAACATCAATGATTAAAAAAAGTAAAAGAGATTTCTTTAACAATGCTATTAAAAATAACAAAGACCCGGCATTTTTATGGAAAAATTTAAAGGACGTTTCAAATCTAAATAAAAAAGGTTGTATTACAATGCCAGACAGACTAGTGACAGGTAATAAAGAAATTTACGGAACTGTTAATATTATAAATGAATTAAATAAGTATTTTGTCAATATCTCGAATGTCATACATAAAACAAAGTTTTCAAATACAAATTTTTCAAAATTGAAAGAAACTTTAGACCAAAAGCTAATACATCATGAATTTAATATTGAATTAATTACACCGTTTGAAGTAAAACTTATTATTGAAAAACTGAATATTAAAACATCTACAGGATTAGATGGAATTGGACCAAACATCATCAAATATTGTGGAGATTATATTACACCAATAACTGCATCAATTACCAATGATAGTATTAAATCTAATATTTTCCCAGATGATTTAAAAAGAGCTCGAGTTATACCTATTTTTAAATCGGGGGATAAGAATGAAGCAAATAACTATCGACCGATATCAATTTTGTCAACTATATCCAAAATATTTGAGCGCCATATTGCCAAACAAATACACTCATTCTTTGAAAAAACGAACATTATTCATAATAAACAATCAGGATTTCGTAAAAATCATTCATGTAATACTGCACTCATAAGTTTAATAGATACTTGGTTAAAAGATGTTGACAGTACGAAAATAAGATTTATTTATGATAAAATGTATTGAAAAACGTATTTTTATTGTTATTAAATAATTTGCATGAATGAAATAATAAAGAATGAAGTACTTTGTAATGAAATATTAGACGTTTGTGCGGCATACATGGTATAGAAAGTATAGAAAGAAGGCATGCGAAAATAACCCCAAGATGGCGATTACGAAAATAAGATAGATAATAACTTATAAAATTATATTGTATTACTTGCAAATAAGATTGTAAATTAAATCTTCTCTTATAAGACAAGAAAAGGTAGTGGTGAAAAAGTATCAAAATAAAAGCAAGAATTAGCTAGTGCGAAAATAACTAAAAACAACGACTACAAGTTTAAGATC